CCTGTCGGTGGGGAAGGGTCAGGGGAGGGAGAGTGTCAGGACAAATACCTAATGCATACAGGGCTTAATATCTAAGTGACAGGTTGATAGGTGCAGCAAACCACAATAGCACACATTTACCTAAGTAACAAACCTGCAAGTTTTGCACATGTATCCCAGAACTTAAAGTAAAATTTAAAGAAGAAGATGCAGCAGCAGCAAGAATACAATATGCTCTTCTAAAAAACAAAATCTTAAATGAAAATTTTAATTTCAACAGAAAGGCTAGAAAATGAAAGCAGAAAAAAATTCCCAGAAAAAAACAAAATGTTTAAAGGAATAGAAAAAAAAAAAAAACCAGATAAGAAGGTCTAACTTCAAATAATAGAATTTCAGAAACCACAAAAAAGAAGAAATCCAACTATTTTCCCTAAAAGACATGAATTTTCAAATTTACAATGTCCATCAATATATGTACAATTATTATGTGTCAATTTAAAAAGACATTCATCAAATACATAAAAGTAGAACTTCATCAAGAAATATCATAACATTTCGGATCATTAAACACAAAAAATACTTTCAGAAAAAGGAAAATGAAAAAAATAAGGCTACTCTATAATGATGATAAAATATGTTTCCAGAGTAAAAGTTATGCATAAAACTAAGGCAGAAACATATTCTGAATAAAGTTGGTGGGAAGGTTCAAAAACAGATGTTTTTAATTAAGCTCATGGACTTTGGTATTTTAACATACTGAGAGAGGATTTAGTCAACTAGAAAAAAACATGTAAATAAGTTAGCAACATAGTGAAAGCTAAGTACATTAAAAATCATAGCAACAAACAAAATATTATTAACTCCAGAGAAAGCAAAAATTGTGAAAGAACAGAAAATAATAAAAGAATACCACACGGCTCAGCTGTGAGAAGTGTTCACAATAATTTGAATACAGTATAACATTAAATAAGTCGATCGCACAACAGTATTGTACCAATGGAGAATGATGGGACTAGGTACCCATATGTATTTGTGTGTTTGGTGGGGGAAGCATGGAAGAGAAATAAACTGTTGTAATGTAAGTCAAGGAACAACTGACAATTTAGCCTTAAACTAAAATAAATTATATGCACATTATTTGATAATATAAACAGTAAAGAAAACATCAAAATCAGCTGAAAGCAGTTGCCTCTGGAGATCAGGAAAGGAATTGCTACTTTTTATAATAAACCTTTATGTTTACTCTATGCATATATAACTCAATGAACAATAAATCAAATTTTAAATGGACAAATGATATGAAAAGGAACACTATTATCAAGGAAATGGAAATAGTCAATAACTCTATTGCCACAGGAGCATGAGCTGCTCAAACTCAGAGAGATAATACATGAAATATGAATCAAACAAGTAAACATAAAACAAGTAAATATAAATCAAAACAAGATCTTTCACTCAACAGGTTGCCAAAACACTTACAAACTGATTATGCAGTCCTGACAAGAATATAAAAAAGAGGGTATACTTCATACTTCCCATAGGCTGCTGGCCAGAAGGTAAAATTCAAAAATATTTTGAAAAGTAATCTGGCAGGATCTATAAGATATAAACTGTACAGGCCCTCTAACCCAGCAATATCACCATCAGGACAATCTTACTAAAATTTAAAAGGCTAGCAATGTAAAGCATTTGATAACCCATAAAATCTTTTATTTTTCTTGTTAATTAATCTAATGAGGCTGGGCACGGTGGCTCACTTCTGTAATTCCAGCACTTGGGGAGCCAAGGTGGGCGATTGCTCGACCCCAGGAGTCCAAGACCAGTCTGGGGCACATGGTGAAACCTTGTCTCTGTGAAAAATACAAAAAAAAAAAAAAAAATAGCCAGGCATGGTGGTGAACACCGATAGTTCCAGCTTTGTGGGAGACTGAGGCACAGGAATCACTTGAGCCTGGGGGGCAGACATTGCAGTGAGCTGAGATCACATCACTGCACTACAGTCTGGGCAACAGAGTGAGACCTTGTCTCAAAAAAAAAATCAAATGGATAAGTTTATTCAAAGTAATTATTGCCAAAATAGTATTTGGTAATTATAGTTTATGAAAAAGTAAATAATTGATAGAAATGATATAAGGGACAGAAGGGAAGAAATGACTTTTTTATAAGGTCAATGCCATAGGTGTTAAGTGATATAGATTATTTGAAAGAGGACTAAATACAACTAAAACAATATAATTAGCAATTACAACTAATTCTGTTATAAACGTATATTACAAACTTAATAGCAACTGCTAAAAAAAAGTGACAAAGAAAGTGTAATTGATATACTAAGAGAGGAGATAAAATGAAATCACATAGAATGCTCAATCAAACCCAGAAAAGGCAGAAAGAGAAGACAAAAAAAAGGGCAAAAAATATGGTTAATATTAATCTAAGTATATCAATAATTAACTGTTAAGGTTCTAAGTGTATTATTAAAGACTATCAAACTAGATTAAAAAGCAATACCTAACTATATGTTGTCTATAAAAATTCCACTTTAAACATAAAGACAAAGATAAATTAAAAGTAAAAGGATGAAGTAAAGATATACCATACTAACAATAATCAAAAGAAAGCTGGAATACTATATTAGTTTCAGACAAAACAGACTTCAAAGAAAATTATCAAGGGTACATTACATAATAATAGAGCGGTCAGTTATCCAAGAAGACATAACAATTCTTAATGTGAATGCACCAAACAACAAAGCACCAAAATACTTCAAACAAAAACTGACAGAACTGCAGGAAGAAATAGATGGATTCATTAATATAGGTGGAGATTTCAACATACCTCTAACAGTAATTGACAGATTCAGCAGGATGTCAATAAGGACAAAGTTGAACCAAACAGTACCATGGATCAACAGAATGTAACTGACATGCAACAATAGTAGGATATATATTAGATAAGCTTACACAGATAATTTATCAAGAGGCCACTTTCTGGGCAATAAAATTTACAATAAACTTTAAAAACTAGAAATTATATCAAGTGTGCTTTCATATCTGCAAAAACACAAGGGTTGGGAGCAGTGGCTCATGCCTGTATAATCCAAAGTGCTGTATGACTCAGCACTTTGAGAAGCCAAGGCAGGTAAATCACTTAAGGTCAGGAGTTCCAGACCAGCCTGGCCAACATGGTGAAAGCCCATCTCTAATAGGCTTACTAGAATAAAAAATTTACAAAAATTAGCCAGGCATGGTGGCATACACCTGTAGTCCCAGCTACTTGGGAGGCTGAGGCACTAGAATTGCTTGAACCCAGCAGGCAGAGTTTGTAGTGAGCCGAGATCGCACTACTGCACTCCAGCCAGGGTGACAGAGCAAGACTCCATCTCAAAAAAAAAACCACCCACAAGGTCACAGAAGTCTCAAGAGACAATGAAAATATTTTGAATTAAGTGAAAAATGAAGATATAACTTATCAAAACTATGACATGTAGAAAACTGCGGTTTAGAGGGAAATTTATAGCATTAAATACAAATGTAAAAGTACCAATACTATAAAAGAAGAAAGACCTAAAACTAATCATCTAAGCTTCCACCATAGAAAACTAAAAAGATCAAATTAAATCCAAAGTAAGAAGCAAAGAAATAAAAATTAGAAGAGAAGTCAATAAAATTAAAAACATGAAATCAATAGAGAAAAATCAACAAAACCAAAAGTTTTTTTTTTAAAAGAACAGTAAAATTTATAAGCCTCTAGTCAGGTTAACTAAGAAAAAAAAAGAGAAGACACAAATTGCTAACATCAGAAGTGAAAGAGGGGCCATCACTGCTCATTTCAAAGACGTTAAAAGGATAAGGAAATATTAGGAACAATTCTGTGTCCACAAACTTGATAATTTAGATAAAGTGACCAATTCCTTGAAAGACAAATTCTGTCAACATTCACATAAAAACAAGTAGACAGTCTTAATAGGCCTTTATTAAAGTAACTGAATCAATAACTAATAATCTTCCAAAATAGAAAACTCCAGGCTAAAATTGGTTCACTGGTGAATCCTATAAAATAATTCATGAAGAAATTAAACCAATTCTGTGTCATACCCTCCAGAATACCAAAACAGAGTAACTTCTCATTTATTATGAGGTTGCCATTCCAATAATACCAAAACCAGAAAGACACTACAAAATCTACAGACTGATGTACCTCATAAACCTAGAGGCAAAAATCCTCAATAAATATTAGCAAATCAAAGCCAGCAAAGTATAAGAATGATTTATACACCATGACCAAGTGGGATTTATTTCAGGTATGAAAAACTGGCTCAACATTAGAATATCGATTAATGTAATATCAACAAGCTAAATAAGAAAAAGAACATTTATTGTAGTTTTATTTATGGAGGGAAAATCCTAGATAATTTGATGTTCACTAAGAGGGAAAATATGTGAATAAATTGTGGTAAAGCTATATATACATAAAAGTATAATGCAGCCATTAAAAATCATGTTTCATTCTGTATTCACCTAAGAAAATTCCCATAGTTATAAAATAAATCAAACTGCAAGGTAATGTATAAAAAATAATACCATTTTTGTAAAGAGAAGATAAAAATATGACTATGCAGATTTGTCTGATGCACTGCATAATTATAAGCACAGAGAAAGTCAGAACTGTAAATATTAAAATATTACCATAGGTTAAGTGAGAAAATAGGAACTAGAGGAGGAAGAAAAAATAGCTAGCTTCTTTGCACACCGTTGTTTGGTTTGACTTAAATCAATCATGTGTGACTGAAGTCTGTAAGTGAAAATACAAGGGAGCAGATAACGGGGCAGGGGAAGGAATCCCATCAAGAGCGAACTCTCTTATTCTTATCTTGAAATTACAGACATCAAGGTCTATTCTGCCTACACAGTCGATAATCCTGGTTACTCCAACTTTTTTAAATCATTTAATATATTATTACTGGCTGTTTAGAAAACCAAACTACACCTAGAATAATTATCCAGTTTCAAAACAGCACATACCTTTCTTCAGAAGAGTTCGTATTTTCTCCATAAAGAAGTAAAATAAGTCCTTCTTCTACAGATGCAATTCTTGCCAAAATATCAGCTATATGAATTAAAGCTGTCTCAGAGCAATTTGGAGATGCCTGTACATTAAAAAGAAAATAAGACAAATCATATAATGTTCTGACATGCTAACACATCACAGACAAATTCGAGGATGGTATGTAGGCTCATAAAGTTATATTACCACAACAACAACAACAAAAAAAAAAACAAGCTTAATGATTTGTTTGGCTGTGAAATAATACGTCTGAATAAAATGTGTTATTTGATTATATTCTTTCAGCAGCCCAACTGATTAAGCAAATAAATACAGACTTTTTTCACCCAAACCAGTCACTGAGAACTGCAGTTCCTGTTACAGTGTTGTATATAATTCTGGCTGACAAATGTAGTAGCTCTAATATTTCCATTTTGCCCTTTATTTCTCACCCACTGGGCTCCTGAGTATCCAACATAATTACACTCATATGGTAGCTAACACACTGCCATCCTTTCTAAGGGTGTCATTCTCTTATACACCTGTTTGGGTCATGAGTATATATCCAACTAAGGATAGCCAATTCATGGGCTGGCCAATAGCCAATAATGTCACCTAATAAGAAAAGAAAAGACTGAACCAACTGTATTTGCTCACTTTTGATTTCATATGCAAGTACTAAAATACCTTTGCCAATATATACCAAAGCAGCACACAGCACATACTGAAAACCAGAGAGCCATGTTAATGCTAGAGCGTATCTGCAATATTATAATTCCTGTTCTTTGTGGGGTCTGCTAATTACCTGCACCTGCATGGATGCCAACAGACATATTATCTATAATACATTTGAAAATGCAAATGTTGCAATCAATACATTCTAATAACTTTAGGGGGTTAGCCTAACTAATGATTAGTCAGGTATATTCACCTAAAGAAGAAGTCCTGATTATTACTAATCATACTGTTTAGTATGAATAGCACCATTAATACTACTTAGCACAAAAAGCATATCATTTTTCATATTTAATATACTTCTTAAAACAACTTCTCTCCTTAGAATACATTCTTTCTCTCACATATATGAGAGTATATATATTCTCTCATGTCTATATACATACAAACAGTGTTTTAAAACTGTCTATTCCTCATTTTAAATATTTTTTGTTTAAAGGTCTGCCTTACCTATTAGAGTAAGCTTCTTAAAGGCAATAAACACGTATTATTCACTTATATAACAACATTGTAATAGAGACACTTCTTCAGCCTATTCACAATTTAATGAAAGGAACTGAGGTTGGTAAACCAAGATATTAACAAGCAATTAGAACAAAGAAAGATGGCTTAAATCATAAAAGATGCCTAGTATGTTGTAGGAATATATAGTCAGAGGACCTAAGCTAGTTCTTTATACATGTAAATGCTGTAAAGGCAGAAAAAAGTTCTGAGAACCACTGTGAAGATCAATAGGCTAATATAATTGCTTAGATAAAACCTATTAATTTCATTTTTTTAATAGATTCAGAAGGTACATGTGTCAGCTTGTTACATGGATATATTGCATAATGTTGCGATTTGGGCTTCTGGTGTACATGTCACCCAAACAATGAACACCATACTGAATAGTAACCTACCAGTTGATAGTTATGTTATAGAACTAAAATATAGCTACCCAAACCATTTTTTTCTTTGAATCACTTGAGTTTGGCTCAGAATTTGTGACAGAAATTCTAGGGTTATTTCTTAGTTTTAGAATACTGTATGTCTATGCATTATTGTTGTGTTTTATTAAGTGTTTTAATTTGGAAACTATTCTTGATACTCAAAGGAAAAATATATGTTATCTTTTAAATGTTAATATTTTAGAACATTTTTAAAAGCTAGTCTACAGCCATAAACCTAAAAGGGATTTTTCTGGAAAAAAAAAAAAAAAATGAAGGTTTTTTATTCTTCAATAAAAGATGACCCTGAAAAAGATTGAAGTTTTGGATGTAAGCCAAAACTAGTGAGCTGATCAAAACATTTTAGAAAGTATAAGGAATAAAAAATAACGGGAAAAGAAATCACGTTATGACCTATCAATCAAATGTCCCTCAGTATCATGTCTTGAAATTATTTTGATCTTAATATAAAAACATCATTAAAATTCTCAGTGATACGGATTCTAAATTTAAAAAGTAGTAGAGTAGAAACATCTTAAAACATCAATGAACAAAATTAAATTTCATGGCTTACTTCAGGACAAATGTAATTTCTTATAAAACTGTATCTTAAAGAAACCTACTTACCAAACTAGGTCAGGCACTCAAAACATCTAGACAATAGAATACTTAAATATTTTTAAATGTTTTCTATTTTTTTTTTTTTTTCTGAGATGGAGTTTCACTCTTGTTACCCAGGCTGGAGTGCAATGGCGCCATCTCAGCTCACTGCAACCTCCGCCTCCTGAGTTCAGGCAATTCTCCTGCCTCAGCCTCCCAAGTAGCTGGGACTACAGGCATGCGCCACCATGCCCAGCTAATTTTTTGTATTTTTAGTAGAGACGGGGTTTCACCATGTTGACCAGGATGGTCTCGATCTCTTGACCTCGTGATCCACCCACCTCGGCCTCCCAAAGTGCTGGGATTATAGGTGTGAGCTGTCGCACCCGGCCAGATGTTTTCGATTTCTCTATTTAAAATAGAAGCAGAATTACCTGGATGTGCAGCTGATGTCATCTTTGGACAACTTGGTGAGTAACAGATAAGTTGAATAAATAGAACAATCAGATCTATGAGGGATACCAAACCTTTAAAAAGAAAATAAAGAGAAAATTAATTTCTAGCATATTCTTTCAATTTAGAGAAATTTAACTGAGCTTTCATCCATCTACATAAACGAGTTTTTGTAGAGACTACAGGGGAATCAGGCAGAAGGGAGCTGTAATCTCAGATAGAAGACTTCAGAACAAATTACATATAAATTAAAACACAGCAAGGCAAGCAGTGCTGTAGTTGCTATGTAAAGGTACAGTTACCATTCATTTCAAACCAATCACTTAAGATAAACCTATGACAGGAAGATGTATGAATCTGATCAAGGCTGTTTGAGTTTATTCAATTAGGAGTAGTAAAATTCAGCTTACCAAGTTGGTCCAGCCAACTTATCTACACAGAACTGTAGAACGGGGTTTAGCAAAACTTCTCTTTAAAGGACTAGAGAGTAAATATTTTAGATTTTGTGGCCAAATGGTCTCCATCACAAATACTCAAGTCTGCCACGGTAGCACTAAGTATATGCAGATGATATGCAAATGAATGGGTATGGCTATTCTCCAATAAAACTTGGTGTGCACTAAAATTAATGTGTATTTCTCACATATCACAAAACACCCTAATTTTTTTCAACAATTTAAAAATATAAAAACGATTCTTAGCTCAAGCCCACAAGTATACAAACAAGAACAGTGGACTGAATCTAGCCCATAGGCAAAATTTACCAACTCTTGCTGTAGAGTCTTACATTAAAAGAGTCTGGTAAAATCACATGTGAAACTTAAAGGTGACTGTTGCCCTATGCTAGTGTAGTAGAATAAACCTCTAGGAACTCAATTTTGAGGTGGTCTACAATATCTGGTAGGTCAAAATGTAGATGTTAAAAGTCAATATCAAATGACAAATAAATTACAGATGATCAACATATAAATGTAAGCTGAACACTGCACTAACATCACAAGTATACATTAGTCTATTTCTGTAAACTTCAACAGTATCCTATAAAATGACAGCTCTTTCATTAAAAGTCAATTATCTGAGTGCTCATTATGCACAGAATTACGTGGCTCTACGATGGGAACTACAAGAGATGTATATAAGGCAATGTCTTTTCTCAAGGAGCTCACAATCAACTGAGAAGATTTCAGGAAATTAAAAAAACTGCAAAACAGTATAAAAGAATATTCAAAATAAATATACTCCATAACTGGGGTTAGCAAACTATAGACCTTGTGGATTCACTTTATAAGGCTTACAGGCTAAGAATGGGTTTCACATTTTTTAAATGTGTCAGAGGTCCTCAAAACCATGCCCAGATTCAATGATTCGCTAAGAAGACTCAGAGAATTCAATATATAATTGTATTCACAGCTATGACTTACTATAACAAAAGGATACAAAGCAAAATAAAAGGGCAAAAGTGCATGAGGTGAAGTCCAAAGCTAACCAGTATAAACTTCTAAGTGTCCTCTACTGGTTGAGTCACACAGAATACACCGAATTATTTCAGCAGCAAGTTATGACAACACATGTAGAATGTCATTTACCAAGGAAACTCATTAGAGACCTGGTGCCTTAGGTCTTTGGGGGCCTAAGTATGTAAGCACACTCTACCTAGCACATGCCAAAATTTTAAACTCCCAAAAGAAAACCAAGCACTCCGCATAAATCTCATTGTACAGTTTAGGCGGTGATCATTGTACAGCTCAGGCACTCATCAGTTCTAGGAGTAATAAGAAATCCAAGTTCCTAGGTCACAGCCAAGGGCCAACCTTGCAAGCAGGCCTTTCTAAGGATAACCCTTTCAGGCCTGCTACATTAACTCTTTGTTGTACACACCCAGAGAGAATACACAGAAACAGTATGTAGCCAAAAAAGCCCAAAATATTTACTCTGTGGTGCTTTACAAAAAAAAGTTTGCTGATCCCTTCTATACATACTACATTCTCAGTTATCATTTTTACTTCCCATAAAGTACATACTAACAGCATGTGTTGAAGTTTGATGGGGAAAAAGTAAATGAGACTTAGGGTAAAAATAATACAGTAATATATAAAATGGCACAGGGTTTTGCAGTTTATAAAACAGTATTTGCAAACTTCATTTCTCTGTGATCACAAAAATCCTGTAAGTCAAGTATTACTGATTTCACTAGTCCATTTTTATAGATAAAGAAACTGAAACAACAAAGGTTAAGTGATTATCTCAAAAGATCACAGCTAGTTTAGAATGGAATGAGAACTTAAACAAGGTCTACTAGCTCTAAATCCAGATCTGGATCATTAAAGGCTGAAGGAATAATAACAAGAAGAAAACAACAACAAAACACATGTAGGAAAAAGTACATACGGAAACTAAAAGAAAACAAATACTTTGAGATATATAAGCTATCAACAGACTAAAAGGTATGTAGCTAAGTACCATAGAAAGAAACATGCCAATTTCCAAGTTTGAATGTTCCATCACATACAAATCTTAGCATATCTCAACAAATTTATTTCTCCTAATTGTACTTACCTTTTTTATTCTTCAACTTAATAGGAAATAGTTTTCTGCCTTGTGTATAAATCAATAATCTTCCTAAAAGGCACAGTGAGTGAATGAAATAAATATATTGTAATTCTTCTCCTAAGTAGTGAAAAGGTTTCTGCTTATTTCCTTAAAAGAGAAGCAAACAAGAACATTTATTTATTGTCATTACATTTTACAGTACCTATCTTCATTCCCTTCCAGACATTAAACAAGGCTACAGGCTAGAATGGAGACACTGTTGGTGTAAAAATTTTTTAAATTATTTATTTTCCTTATTGCTTCCTAAGATCCTTTACAATAAATTCCCAAAGAAAAGCAATCACCTTAAAAAGCAGCCTCAGAAAAGTACAGAAAACATATAGTGTCCATTCTAAAATAAATAATAAATACCATAAGCTTGCCAGAGTTATCTGTCACTGAAGAGGAGCTTCAAAAGTAAGTAAAGGGCAGAAGAAAGTTAGCAGAAAATGTTAGTTACTATTTAATTCCACCAATTAAAAGCCAGTATTACAACAGATCATATTAACAAGCAAGAATCTAAGTGACATTAGAATCTCTAAAATAATAGACATTTTCTAATACGTATTTGTCATTGACTCATTCACCCGCACATTCAAAGTCTACTGAGTACCTATTTTACACAAGATCCTGAACACTAGTGTCAAAAACCATTAAGAAGCAGGAAACTGGGCTTCCAATCTAGAGTATGGCAAATAATATGATATGACCAGAGCATGAGGAGAACAAGTGGAAGAGAAGGGACTAGAAGGGGCACATCATGGAGGACTTAGCTTCATAAGGAATCTGGACTTATTATAGAGGCAAGTGGGAAGGTATCAAAGAGTTTTAAGCAGGAAAGTAATTAACATGAACCGTGAAAATCAGACTCTGATAGCAGTATAAAAAGTGAATAGAAGAAAGCCAAAGTTTGAAATAAGAAGACCTATCAAGAAAACCATGAACAAAACACTAGTAAAAAGAATACAAAAGAGGAGAGTGGTAAAAATAAAAGTTTAAGAAAATGAAATCAATATACCTTAGCAAGGATTACACATGGACAGGGAAAGAATGAGAAAAGATAAGAAAACTCAAGGTCCCAATAACTCAAGTATCTGTGCTCAGCGTATATTTTTCTTCTATTTAAGTAATTCTAAAAGCAAAAAAAAGGTCTAAAAAAGAAAAAAAATTGTGATTTCAATCTTTATATTTTAATTTGAAAGTGCCCATGTAACATCCCTGAAGACACTAAATAAGGTAAGTGCATGTGTGTGAAATTCAGGAAAGAGATGTGTTCTCAAATATTCCAGTCATCATTTATATATCAATATATAATATTTGAAACCATGAAAGTAAATAGGTTCCTCCCAAGAGAGCAGGTAGACTAAGGTGAGAAAAGTGCCAAGGGCAAAACCTTTACGAGTACAAACATACGGAGAAAAAGAAAGAGATTTTCAAGTTACCAAGAAAAACTTACTAGAGGAGAATGAGGAACTCTAAGCAAGAATGTTACCATGAAAAAGAGTGAAAAGATCAAGAAAAGCAAATCCTGCAAAATTAGGTCAAGAAAGAGAAGAAGCTGACACATGGGAAGGTTATGGGGAAGAAGAAATAAAAGCCTCATTTCCATGGTTGAAAAATGAATATAAGGTAAAGAATGGAGCCTGAGAGTATAGAGACTACTTAGAATAGAAGAGCTCTCCTCTCATGGGAAGCAGAGAGATAAGGCACATAATGAAACACATGACTTGCTCCATTTTTTAATATGGAAGACACATGAGAAGCTTAGAGGATGCAGGGGAAAGTGCCAATAGAAAGTGAGACTAATAAGCGAAGCAATTTTCTGGTTCTTAAAACACACACACACACACACACAAACACACACACACACACACACACACACACGATAACAGAATCAAAACACCAACCTAAAACAAAACAGGAAATATTGATTAGGGCATATAAATATGTATTTGCATACAAAGAAGCAATACATTTAGAGAACTCCTATCTGGAAAGTTCCATTTTTCTTAATGAAAGAGTAAGCCAGGGCTCCTCCTGAGAGAGAATCGGGCAAGAGCAAAGCAGAAGGCTCAAAGAGACCGACAAGGGCTTGTAATAGCTGTTATGGAACCCTGAAGAAAGAACATCTAAGAGAATTTCAAAGCAACACAGAGAGAGCAGCTGAAGTTAGAAAATACATTTTTACTATCAAACTATGTCATATACTCTCTGCTCAATTTCCTAAGTACCAGAAAAGATGGAGAATTGAACTGGCTTAAAGTTGGGCAACTGTAGGCAGAGAACTCTGAAAGAAAAATGAGTAAGAATTTTTTTTAAAAAACATGCCAAAAATAATAATAATGCAGGGAAGCCCCCTGAGGTCTTTAGACAGGGAAGAGAGCAAAACCATGAAGGGCTGAGGGAGTAATGCGGGGGAAAGAGCTAAATATTACATTTTAATATCAAGACATTAGAAAAATATGTAAGTTTGTAAATGAGATAACAATATGAACTTATATATCCTTTTCCTTCTCTTAAAGAATAAATTATAACTTCTACATTTTCTCCTCCCCTACAAAACACTAGCTTTTGAAACCCATGGTTGATCTACCACCATCTCCCTTGCTTTGAGTTAAAGAAATTCACCGAGAATGAAGAAAATATAAGATATCTTCATACTCTCCATAGAGCTTACTATATGCTTAAGGAAACAACATAAAAACAACAAAACAATAAAACCTGTCAAGTTCACATGGCAAATTGCGTGATATAAGCAAGAGCAAGAAAAATTCAGAATAGGCAAGGAAGCCTTGAAATCTAAAATGCAGTTTCTTCTTTCATGATAAATAAGGTATCTGTTAGTATAGGGAATTATGGACGGGGCAGTTAAGAGTAAAAATAATGTTGTATAGGCACAGGTATGCAAAAAAGACTAAGAGAAGATTCGTTTTAGTCAATAACTAGAGAATAGATCGTATAGAAATTGGGGTCAGATTACGAAGCATCCGGGACATTTTAGCTCAGACTGAGAATAAGCAGAAAAGGATCACGGGATTGATATGGGGTGTTCAAAAATAAAAACATTTTATGGAAGTTTTTCTCCCAGTAAAGTGCAAATGTCTCTGATTAGATGACCAATACATTACTGAACGTGAAAGAATGGACTGTATATTGTCGCAGTATAACAGATGAGGACATACACTCTAGTATGAATTGAAGAACTACATCTAGGAAGAATCAGTATGGTTGTACATTAATTTCAAATGCAGATCTGTTATAAAAATAATGATTATAGTGTATCTTAGAAATGTGTAAAATATATTTTACAACATCATTAGTAAAAGTGACCTAATTTATCATACTATCATTAAAAAACAAAAGTTACTACTAAACTCTATTTACCAAGAAAATTTACCATTTTTAAAACTATGTAATAGAGGAAATAATACTTACTGCAATGCTTTGAATGTCTCAAAGTTTCATCAGCTTTCATAGTCTTACACAGTTCCAAGTACTGAATACACTGTTGAACAGCTGTAGTTACCTGATGAAATAATAAGTTATTAATTCCAGAAGTTTGCAGCCCTCAAGTCCAAGAATTAAAAGAAATTAGTCAAAGCTGTAAAAATGCTTGGAGAAATATTTAAGAGAAATATTTAGAACAGTACCTTTCCAGCCCTTAAAGCTCTGCCTTTTCAATTACATTTTAACTATGGCATCACTCTGACGAACACTCTGAAAATATTTGTGGACCAACAAACATAATAATGTTATAATGTTGGTGGCATTGGACAGAAATAAATATGTACTTTTTATTTTATAGTGAAAGATGCAAAAACTCTGTGGCCATGGCCATAACTTTATAAACTATCTTGTCCAGTTCCCTTGCCTTACAATCTCTTCCTCCTACCCAGCCAGCAAAATATCAAGTGGATCAAGCCTTTATTTCTATATCAAATACCAGAATTGCTAAAAACTGATAAAGAAAAATCTCCCAATTCAATAATTCAAAGAAAAGAGGCATAATAAAAAACTATCTTCCACCCCTACTCTACCAGTGATTCTCCATTAGTCTCCATTCTAACCTCTCATTCCCCACAAGCAGAGACATCAAACCTTCTCCCCTTTCCTCAGCACCTACCTACGCATTGATGGCCTCTTATCCTAATTCCCAAACAAAATAAAAGCCATCAGTGAGATATAGTGTGATAACTGTTAAGTTTGGTAACAAGGCAGTTGTTGATGGCCTTGAAAAGATCAGTTTCATAGGAGTTTGATGAATAAAGCCAGACAATACCAAATAAAGAAACAGGAAGTGAAAAAGTAAAGGCAGTTAGTATAATTTTTATTTTCAGGAAAGACAGCTGAGGTAAATTTTAAAAATAGACCAACCACTGTATCTTAGAGTCACTATTAAACTCTTTTTCAGGTTAGAAGAATATGGTTATGCTTAAATGTTATTGGGGGAAGCCAACAGAGAGGAAGAGTTTGACTATAAAGGAGAGAAAGGGGATAGGTGATAGAAAAAAATACCCAAGAGGAAGAAGCAGATGGAATCCAACTGGAATTAAGGATTAAGCTTTAGATGCAAAAAAAATGAAGATTTGAAGAGAAGTTCATAATTGCAGCATCAGGGAACCAGTGGATTTTCCCCTATCATTCATTCTTACAGCCTCAGTTGTGTGCAGGAAAGAGGTAGCATAGCAGGACTTCTATCTTCAGAAAGGCCTCCTTATTAGGTGGGATTTTATAACATCTAGGAACTTAGATTTCAGGAGGGCTCTCATCATTCTGAGAACTGGGAGTGGCTAACAATGTTTGCACAAATAATGTGGTTTATGATGAATACTTGCTTTCCTTCAAGGAGTCTTGGACCCTGGTATGTACCAGGAAGAGGGTTTCTATGTGATCAGCATCCCCTCCTCAAAAACAAAAACCAGGCACTGAGTTTTTAATGAGCTTCCCTGGTATATACCGTTTCACATAAGTTGCCACATGAGTGGGAGTTGAACAATGAGAACACATGGACACAAGGAGGGGAATATCACACACCACGGCCTATCAGGGGATAAGGGGCTAGGGGCGGGACAGCATTAGGAGAAATACCTAATGTAGATGACGATCAATGGGTGCAGCAAACCACCATGGCACATGAATACCTACGTAACAAACCTGCACATTCTGCGCATGTACCCCATAACTTAAAATATCATTTAAAAAAACGCTGCCACAATTCAGTGCTGAAAGAACTAACTATGTCTTGTGTGATTCTAGTGGGAAAAAGACTCTTCAGAAGCTTGTATCTTCCATACTTACCCAATGAACTTTTTCCTCTTTGCTGATTTTTCTTAGTATCCTTTCATTGTTATAAATAATAGCTGAAAGCATAACTATATGCTGAATCCTATGAATCCTCCTAGCAAATCATCAAACCTGGGGTTTGTCTTGGGGAAACCCTGCCCCTCCCATATCTGCATGTCTTGTCTAAATCAGACATCAAAGATCCACACCCAGGCCTCCTAGAAATCTGCATTTCAAATATGACTAAATCTACTAAATCTAAAAATCATTATCTTTTCTAGCAAATGGTTTCCTCCTACTGTGTTACTCATCTCAATAAATGACATGAATCATCAACTGTCTGAGGTCTCAACTGCAACCCCCTCATTCAAAAGTCCTCTATATCCTACATTCGAAATAGAGTATTTCTGAGTCCATCCACTTATCCCAATTCTGTCTTATCCTTCTTCCATGGTTCCATCGTCTTTTGCTTGGATTATTACAGTGTATTAAACATCTTTTTGCTTCAGTACTTCTCCTCTATCTCAACCTAGAATCTTCACCCCATTTTCCAACAGAAAACAAAACAAAACAGAAGTGAATTACAATAAACAACTGACACTTTAGGGAACTTTTGACATTAAAAAAATTATAAAATAATACACTTAAGAAAAGCTCTAAAGAGTTAGAAGACAAAAGAACAAACAATAGTCAATTTCTTTAACTGAAAACTCAAAACACTGTCTCCAAAAGAATCTCTCTCAAGGACTCTTTAGTTCATTCAAACCTCTAGAAATCCACCCTCCTTGCATCCATTTCTACCCAGCTTTATCTTCACCAACCACTTACACTCCCTTCTTTTCCTTCTCCTTTTTCCTTTATATTTTCTTAAACATGAGAAAAGCTAGCAATCACAAGAAAAAAAAGAAACAATCTCAGGACAGGAACAATCACATTATATGACATCCCTTTAAACCACAGGAACAGAAAGCAGATCTATAGTAAAGGGAATTTAAACACTAGCCTAAAGAGTCAAGTTGAGAGTATAATAAATGATTTTTCTAATCCCTGTGAAAATAGACAGAAAAATTTGCTATAAAATTCAGGGTTGTATTCGACACTTATTGCCCTATACTATCAAATATATACCATCAGTTCATTTAATTGTTAACCCCTAAGACAGAAATTTTTTAAAAAAAGGTTAAATACAATAAGACAGGAAAACCCAAGGGAGAATTTAAATAACCAAGCTGTCAAGTAATTTTTTAAAATGACTTTAAAGAGCAGTAGAAATGGCACTACATAAAGTTATTTCCGAACCATTCCTTTAGAGGTAGACTGAATAAAGATTCAAACTTAAAAAAATTAAAGGTTAAATATTTATGCTGACAGCCAAAACTTTTAACCAGTTCATGACTTTGAGATGCTATGGAAACAAAGATTATCTTAACTTTTTCAGGGATCTCTATAAAAAACCAACAGCACATACAAAAATTCATAGCTTAATGCTACCTACTGAAAATGTCATAAACATAAGACAGTATAGAACCACACAAACACAGCAGCCACCAACCACATGGCTATTTAGATTTATGTTCATAAAAACTAAATAAAATTAAAAATACAGTTTCCCGTTTATAGTCACATTTCAAGTTTTCAGCAGTCACATGTGTCTCGTGGTTACTGTATTTTACAATGCAGATATTTCATCACTGCAGAAAACATCAGAGAGCGAGCACTGATGAGAAGCTAGAGGAAATATATCAGCAGGTCATCATGCTAAACAGGCTGCTGTAAGTAAAGTTCTTACACAAGAATCTCTTATAGAACAGAAACACAAATTGATTGAGTAGTCTGCAATTTCCATCACAGATGTACAAAATTTGACCCTTGATTCTGAAAACACAATGGGAATAAACAGATCTTGCATCGATTTTCCCCAGTGTTTATTTTCAAAAGTGGGGCCAACATTACTTTTAAAAAATAAATATAATATGCATAATCTTTTAATATTTTGTAAATTTAGGAAAGCTTTTTAGAGCAAATGAGGTTTAAGTTGAAATCTCAAACAAGTTTGACTCACTATATATATAAAATTAAATATTTGACTAAGTTGATAAAATAGTAAGATGATTTACAATGATGTGATTCCATTTGCAGGTTAAAAGTTAAGGTAACTTTTCAATTAAAAAACCTTATGAAATACTTTCACTAAGGGCCTCTGTGATAGCAAAAATTAGTTATCTGTTTATAAGCCACTGGGAAAAAATCATCCTATTCTTTATTTTCCTTTCTCTACTCTAGCAAGATTGGTATATGCTCATAAAGCAACAACAAATTTTAAAATGGAAATGAGAGAAAAACAATATCTGGAAAGACTTATTTAAATTCAATTTCTCTAAAAATTGTTAAGTCTATTTTACCTTTACAGATAAACCCTTATCCCATATTCAATATCCCTCAATATCAATTCTCTTGATTCTCAAACACAAAACAATTATTGTTCTCCTTCCTTCATTTTATGCTCTACTGCATTTAACCAAAAATCGCAATTCTGGAGTCTTTTCTTCACCTGACTTCTAAACTCAAGGTTCTGCCTAACTACATAAACCATGTTTATTGACCCAAATTAACATCAGTATAACATTTGAATATCTTAATAAATTTTATGTTTTCCATTTTGTCAATTATTTATTACACTTGTCAATTTTTTTTTAATTCCTTTCAGTGTCCTTACACATTGTTCTACTAATAGTAACAAATGTAATTTTGGTAACATATTTTAGAGTATTAAGTCTACACTTGGTATAACACAAACCAATAATTACAAATGCAAAAGTATTTATCATTCAGAGTTCTGCCTTGTAATTTTCACTGAAAAATATGGGTCTGTATTATAGGAGTAATGGTGTTATTAATACTTGATCTGAATCAAACTACATGCTACTGCTTAAAAATAAGGCTTCTCTAAAACTAGCTTGTTATTTATAGAAGCCAATTTACTATATACATAAAACATATTTTCTAATTGTTATCTTGACTGCATTTTAAGTCTCTATTTTTATCCTTTTATGTTTCACAGGATGGTAGTCTAGGTCACAGAAAAGGCAAATTGCCTCATTATCCAACATGAATCATCAGCACTCAACTTTGCATATTCAAGTTATTACATCGTATATATTTTGGTGGTATTATTTCTCCACATAAAAATAGAATTACAGACTTACCAGAGACTTATATTTCTTTTCAAGAAGTCTTAATACAGTAGTTCTGCTATAATGTGCATGCTAAAATTAAAAGGAAATGATATTTAATACTCAAGCTGTGCCACTCAAAATCTATTTTTCCTGCATCATTTCCAATAAAAACATCATAAATCACACAACAGCTTAGGATTAAATCATTATAGTCAATGACAGGTGTTTCTGCGTGCACTGGATTACGAGCATAGCCATCACAAGAACGCAAATCACATCAAAACCTTGCAGATCATTTAGTGATCGATAAGTAGAAAAACATTCTATCCATCAATTGTGTCCAATTTCATGCTAAAATATTTTAAAAGCACCACCAAAAAAGTATACCTATCAGCCTATGACAGAATCCAAAGAAAAGATACATGTAGCAAAAAATAAAAATAAATAAATGAATAAGCACAACTCTCATGCTGAATAGGATACTGTATGGTCTACCTGTGTAGAAATTTGACAACATTGAAATGCTCCAAAGGGACAGTACTCTAATCATTTTCTGCCAACCATATTTAAAAATGATTCAAAGTGTCAAAAGAGATTTAATTCTCTCCTTGGAGCAAATCATAGATGGAACTGAAACATGTAAATGCACAGCATTATACAAAGCCAGGAAAAACCATAAATATTGTTTAGCTAGATTATATAAGGTATCATTAGTGTTCAAAACATAGTTCCTTCATTTCACTTAAGAACAAAAATATTGGCTGGGCACAGTGACTCACACCTCTAATCCCAGCACTTCAGGAGGCTGAGGCAGGCAGATCACGAGGTCAGGAGGTCAAGACCAGCCTGGCCAATATGTTGAAACCCTGTCTCTACTAAAAATACAAAAATTAGCCAAGCATGGTGGTGCACACCTGTAGTCCCAGCCCCTCAGGAGGCTGAGGCAGAAGAATCACTTGAATCCAGGAGACGGAGGTTACAGTGAGCCGAGATTGCACCACTGCACTCCAGCATGGGTGACAGAGCAAGACTCCATCTCAAAAAAAAAAAAAAAAAATACAACAAAAATATTAAACAAAATAAGACAAGTCAAAACTTTTTCAGAATTCTAGGGAATAGAGAATTTTTTAAATTTTTTCTTTCTCTTTTTTTTTGTAAATAAAGACTAGGTTCTGCTATGTTGGCCAAGCTGGTCTCCAACTTCTGACCTCAAGTGATCTGCCCTCCTCGGCCTCACAAAGTGTTGGGATTACAGGCGTGAGCCACCGCACTCGACCGAGAAATAGAGTTTTTAATTAAACATTGATTAAATGGTGTTTTGGTTAACTGAAAGTTAATCAAAACTCTGTGTTTTAACTCTTGTAGCTTAAAATGTTTTCAAAAACTATTATCATTTTTTCAACTTTATTAAAAGAAATAAGTTGATATAGTATTAAATTATTTTTAATACTGATCATTTTCAGAAAAGAAATCCTCATAGTGTATCTCTTAGACCAGGGTCAGCAAACTACAGCCCTCAGATCGAATTCTGCCTAGACCCAATTTTGCAAAAAAAATTCACTGGAACAATCAAGTCCATTCATTTACCCATTATGTACAGATGCTCTGGAGCTACAACAGTTGGGCTGAATAGCTGCAATAATGACTGTACAGTTCACAAAGCCAAAAATACTATGCTAAACAGTAAATGAATGCCCAGCTCCTCCCTTCCCCAGTCCAACAATTATAGTACCTAGATGCCCAGTACAGATTGAGAGAGAAAACAATATGAGCACAAAAGCCAGTCTTGTTGCTACTATTGACAAACCAACCTCTCCTATTCAACAGAGGTTGAGGGAGGTAACAGTATAAATATCTCTCTACTCTTAATATTAGTTTCAGTTCCAGCTTCCTAAAAAATTGGCAGAATCAGGCATTAAACACATTGACCAAACTTTAGATTCAGGAGGGAGATAAATGAAGGAATACTTTCAGAAATATCTCCTAAGCCAGTAAAAAATACATATTGAATCTTTACGTTCCACCACATCAGCTTAAAATTTTTGAAGCTTTTATACAAAAGAAAAAATAGATTTTGAATAGGCATTCAACTTACATAGATTCAAATAAAATACCACTTAAAATCCTATTCTGGCTCTGCCACTTAATAGATAAAAAGTCCTGGGCAAGCTAACTTCTCCATATCTTAGTCACTGCATCCGAAAAATGGGGTATTAATATCACCTACCTCATAATTTTCTTTAAGAACTAAATGAGTTAACACATGTAAAAGTGATTAGAACTCTTAGCACATAGTAAATATTCAAACATAAGCTATTTATTAAAATGATATAGCAATGCACTAAAAGGTATAGAATATTCTATTTTTCCTTACCATCCATTTTTTGAACCACACAGCCTTGATATCAACTAATGCAAAAAAGTAGATCGGATCCAAAATCTGTGACACAACATGGCTTTGATCATGTTTAACTGTTAACAAAGACAAAGTACTCTCCACAATTTCTTCCATATACCTTAAGGTTTGGGAAAAAAGAAATGCAATTACATATTTGGTACTGGTGGTATACTTTATATTTATGGAACGATAAAGTAGCATATAATCTTCAGAAACGTTTTTTCTATTTCAATAAATTACATAGGTAGGATTCACACTCAATGTTCCTGTTTTAAAAACAGGCTCTTTATACTTCAACACTGGGTCTGCAAATTTAACTTTCCTTTTAAGATTCATAGATACTCTTACAACTTAGTATAAATTTTAGAGATGAAAGGAAAAAATTTAAAGAATATTTAGGGAACTTGTCCAAAATATAATGGCAAAGAACAGACCTTCAAATCAGTGACACATAAAACATAAAACAACCTAATGCTACATTATCTTTTAGTCTTATAATAAATGATGTACTTGTACTTTTATAGAGTGATCCACATAGCTAAGCATAAAAAAATGACAAGCTTAAGAAAAAAAAAAATAAAAACTTTATTAATCTCTTCCCAATCAAGTAAGACTATAAAGACTGCCTTTACTTTTTCTATCCGAAATGTATATGAGGTGGTAACACTGCTAGGTTTTATGCTGGCATACGTTGTGAGGGGACTTACTTCTCTGGATGGCGAATCCAGAAAGATGGAGCCTCTTTCTGATATTCATTTAGAAGACGAACCTATAAAGCAGTGCACAATAGTTCTCAAAAAATTAGAATCCTCAAATATAAAACTAAATAAATAAAAATAAAAGCATATTCTGGTAAATGAATACCTTTTTAAGTAAGCGAGTCATATTAGGATTAGTTATATCTACACCAGCTGAAAGAGTAGGAATACGATTTTCCCTAGAAAGAAAGTATAACTCCAAATATCTAGCTGAAAAAAAAGGGAAAATATAAAATTATATCATTTACAGTGCTTTCTGAAAAAGTTATTTCCTATCCATTCTTCTTAAGGACATGCAAATGACAAAAAACATTTTTAAAGGTTTCATACATACCTAAGCGTGTATAAATTTCCTTGGTCATATGTAATGGAGAAAACGAAAATGTCTGTGCATAGAATTTTAAAATCCGGTCCTGTGGAAATGAGACAGAAAATTTTCATCTAAGATCTTACAAGAACAGAACAGAGATGAAACATTTTTCACATAGTAAAAACTCAGAAAATAAAATAAATACAAATAAACCATTAAGAAACCAGAATTGGAATGTACTTATTTAAAAATGGCACACTCTTGTGTCAGCAAAATTGAAATCAACCGAAACTAATACGTGAATCTAATAACAGAAAGATATTACTGTACAGTCTGATCATAGCAGATACTGACATGGTGAGGAGGGGGTAAGGTGAGGTTTCATAGAGACAATGTAAAGGTGTCAAACAAAGGAACAGAGTAGACAGCACTAATTTTTTTAACACCCCATATTTCAAAATCCAAAATTCACCATTTATAATTGCTTACATGGATAGCTTCAGTAATTAGAGATTTAGAATTATTCCTAAGAATTTTGCCTATTCCCAAGAAAAGAACTCTGTTTAAAATTTTACATTATTAAAACTCACAATAGAAACATTAGAAGGCAAATTAGTTAAATTTGCCAACAAATGTAGTTGCACAATGCCTGGCACTAAGAGGTACTTTAAAATAGTAGGTATTATCCTTTTAATTATACTTACTTTAATGTGATGAGATTAATCCTAATAGTGAAATTCAATTTTCCATAAAATAAAAACCTAAACTTGCCTTAAAGATTCTAACTTGGGGGGGAAAAAATAGTAACTCTGTTGATATCATTTTAGATAATCTGATTACAAGAAATAGTTCCCCAAGTGACTAAAGATATCTTCTAATAGCCCCAAGAAATTCCTATGGAACAAAGGATTTTAAATACTTTGGGAAGTCTATTTTTACAGATGCAGGAACTGACAGGTATTTGTCACAACCCTAAAGGTTGCACTCGGTTGTATGTAAGAGTCCTTTAGAAGAGGACATGAAAAAACAGAATTGAACTCAAAAATAATTTGCATCAAGCACAAATTTAAAATGAAAAAAACTTGCCTTGTTTTATAATTCGAAATGACTAATTTTGTTACAATCTCTCCTCTATAATAATTGCTTCCAATTTTATTAGCATAAGTAATAAAACTGAACATCGCTGCACAATAATTTAAAATGGCTACAATTTGCTATCTTATAAAGTTATTACATAATTTATAAAATAGAGAAAACCTATCCAGCTACTATCCTGTATTTGTTAAGTAAAAAATAAAAAACAGGGAAATTTACAACTGCATCTCTCATTAGAGAGCTTGAAATGTTAAAGATAATCCTGAGATGTATTTTTCACCTTGAGGTTCTTGGATCATTGAGTTGTTCCAGAAGTCTACAATACCCTCTGGTGTTAACAAGGTTGAACTGCATCCAAGTATTAGGTAAATACCTTCTTCCCCTTACGAGAATTACAGTGATTCCAAACCACTTCTGTATACCAGTATAATCATATCCTCATTAAAGATAGACCTATTTTAAATAGACATATTGGGATGCCTCATATTTTTCTATAACTATTTATTTATTATCTGTGTTATCTACTGAAATCTAAGTTCCCTGAGGGTTAAGACTTTGTATCTGGTCCACGGTGTGTTCCCAGTGTCTAAACTAGAATGATACACACTGCAGATATTCAATACATAGTTGTTGAACAAAGAGCAAAATGAACCTCTTCTGCTAATGCCTTAAATTCTATGCCAAACATCACATCGATTTTAAAGCCAAAACTGTCTTCACTGACATATCAATTAGGAAGAAAAGATCCTTTGTAAGGAAATCCAATTTGTGTTTAAAATATAATTCTTGGATAATCAGGGTTTTTGGTTTCATTCCCATCATAGACACTATCTGTAGAATTACCGCACTTGTTAATGTAAGCTTAATTTTCATCATCATATAGCTGTTCCTAAAAAGTCATATGCAAATCAATTTGTATAGAAAATCATATCCATTGACTTCCTAATTTTATAATTTTAGAAATTTTCTATATTTGCTTTATGATTCACCTCAAATTATTTTCTAAAATCTCAGACTTAGTTTACTAGCCTCTCTTTTTAAGCAGTTAAGCAATTTCTAAATAAACACTTAAATACATGAGGAAAATGCTTATAAGCCCTTTTGAATAAACCATAATTCATCAGTTTAGTTCAAATTTTCATGTACCATGAATTCTTTTAAAATATTCTTTTTATTTGTGAGTATCCTAAAACAGCATTATTCAAAAGCAATTATACAGTCAGGTGTGGCGGCTCAAGCCTGTAATCCCAGCACTTTGGGAGGCCGAGGCAGAAGGATCGCTTGAGCCCAGGATTTCAAGACCAGCATGGGCAATGTGGTAAGATCCTATCTCCACAAAAAAAAAATACAAAAATGAGCCAGGCATGCCTGTAGTGCCCAGCTACTTGGGAGGCTGAGGTGGGAAGGTCATTTGAGTTTGGGAGGTTGAGGCTGAAGTGAGCCATCATCATGCCACTGCATGATGAGCAAGACCCTGTCTCAAAAAACAAAATAAAATAAAACAAAAATAACATATTAGAATATTCCTTTACAAGATAAAATGAACAAGGTAAGTGTATTATTTGGCAATGAGTGAAGTATATTAACCATATTTTGAATCGAATCATAAAATTTCCTTAAGGAAAATTTTGACAATTTGAAACTGAAGTTCCATAAACACGTGAGCTACTATTAAAGAAAACTATCAGCCAGGCACAGTGACTCAAGACTGTAATCTCAGCACTTTGGGAGGCTGAGGTGGACAGATCACCTGAGGCCAGCAGCTTGGCCAACATGGTCAAAACCCGTCTCTACTAAAAATACAAAAATTAGCTGGGCCTGGTGGTGTGCACCTGTAATCCCAGCTACTCGGGAGACTGAGGCAGGAGAATCACTTGAACCGAGGCCAGGCCACTGCACTCCAGCCTGGGCAAAAAGAGCAAAACTCCATCTCAAAAAAAAAAAAAAGAAAGAAAGAAAAAGAAAAACTGTCATAACTGTCATATTCTACTGATCTCCAGAATGGTGGGAAAACAAACTATTTTTACTATTTCTATAACCATTTTCTTACACTAAACGCAGGGTCAGGATCTGAAAGAGACACTGTCAGTTTTTCGCAGAGAGTAGTCCAATTTTCACAGTTCAGGACATCAGACAGAGGAGCTGAACATAATGTCTGCAAGGCTTCATATCTCACCTATAATTTTTTAAAAAGATTTTTATTAACACACAGTCACTAAAATATCACAAAACAATATTTAACAAACTACTGAAAGGCAAAGTCTGAACAATTTATAAAGAGTGATTTATCAGATGCCTTTATATTAAAAAGCTCTTAAGAAATCATTTTTTAAACTAAGTGCTAAGCAGAGAAAAAAACAGTTGCTGTTTGTGAAAGCAAAAATTAAAATACTAAATGTAGTAGGAGATTTTAGGTATCACATAAAAGTCAATGGGAGGAAGAATGGTAGTTGAATCAGTATCATCAATGCAACATTTCCCAGTGGCCTTGTCCTGCAGGTTTTCCCCATTCTAGGCCATTCCTACAGATTGAGGGCTTTAATTTCAAAATGCTGCCCAAATACACCCTTGGCAAAGTATTCCCATTCTAGGATACATGAACAATTCTCACAAAACAATGAGTTTGAACTTGTTTTTCTGCTATGCCATATTTCCTGGCCTTCTGACTACTTAGGTAGAAAAAAAAAAAGACATTCAGCAGTGGGATGCGAAATTGAATTTCTGTATTTTCATAGAAAACTGACTTCTTAATCAGTCTTCTCAAAATGCAATCAGAATTCACTCAAAACAGTAAGACCCAAGGGAAAGTAGTAGAGAACAGTTCTACTCCAGTGATGAATAGAACAAAGCTTTTCTCCCACTCAATATCCAAGTAGTGAATAATAACACACTAATCCCAACCTCATACTCAAAATCTGATCATTAAAGCCTAGTCATTAAAAATGGTGAGGCCTCAGACACAGTAGCCAAAACCTCATCAAATCTGACACTCTGAATCAGGACCCAACTTTTAGACAAAAAAACATTGTATATACATATATTTGCAACTGTCTATACATTCATATGAAAGAACTCCTAAATACAACTTTATTTGTGATAGGCGGTAAGGGAAATATTGAGAGAATTTTAAAAATTAGAAATTCATTTACAATGTTAAGTAATTTTTCCATTTCAGTAAATATTTAGGAAAAATCCCATTAAGAATTTACTACTTGCAAAAGCAAAATGAAGGTTTCTAAACAAGTATAGATTTCCAAATCATCCATTTAAATTAAAGCCAACAGGATTTTTAACATATAAAATTCAAAACTCATTTTCAACATTTTTTGAAAGATGTCATTTAATATGAACCTAGAAAATAAATCATAATGCAAAATGCTGAAAAGAAAAAAATTATTCCTCTCTATAATTTTTTAGAAAATTTCAGTAGGAGTAAATCACAACTATTCATTTAGTTTAAATTTAAAAGTTTGAAAAAAAATTTTTAAATGGCAAGATAGACATATGAATACATAAAAGGCTTAGGTAAAAAACAAAAATTCTATCATATTTTCCATTTCATGCTGACTTTCAAATGAAATAAATCTTCATAAAGAGTGATTTGCACAGTGTCTTAAAATACAAACAAACATAATTCATTAGAACTGGAAGAGAAATAGAGAAATCTACAATTACAGTAGGAATGTCCCTCTCTCAATAATAGATAGGCCAAGTAGACAGAAAATTGTCAAGGATATTGTATTCATTTTCCACACTGTAGTTCATTTTCACACTGCTATAAAGATACTACCTGAGACTGGGTAATTTATAAACAAAAGAGGCTTAATTGTTCCCCATGGTTGGAGAGGTCTCAGGAAATATACAATCATGATAGAAGGTGAAGGGGAAACAAGACATGTCACACCAGCAGCAGGAGAGAGAGAGCAAGCAGGAAAAAATAGAGAAAGAGAGAGAAAAAAAGAAAGAAAGAAAAAAAATCATTTTTTCTGGCCAGGCACAGTGGCTCACGCCTGAAGGCAGGTGGATCACTTAAGCACAGTATTTTGAGATCTTCCTAAGCAATGTGGTAAAACCCCATCTCTACAAAAAATACACAGTTTTGCCAGGTGTGGTGGCATGCATCCATAGTCACAGCTACTTAGAAGGCTGAGGTGGGAGAATCACCTGAGCCTGGGGAGGTAGAGGCTACAGTGATTGGTGATCATGCCACTGTGCTTCAGCCTGGGTGACAGAACAAGACCTTATCTTTCAAAAAAAAATCATGTTTCTAATAAATAACCAAATGGGTTAAGGTTACTCAGATGGTTAGGGGAGGCATGGGTAGATGCTAGTCAAAGGACACAAAATTTCAGTTACGAGGAGTAAATTCAAGAGATCTACTGTATAACATGATGACTATGTTAATAACAATGTTTTATTCTTGAAAACTGCTAAGAGTAGATTTTAAATGTTATCATCCCAAAAAATAAGTATGTGAGGCAATGCATCTTAGATCAGCTCAACTTAGCCATTCCCCAGTGTATACATATTACAAAACATGTTGTACAAGACAAATATACACAATTTTTATTTGACCATTAAAAATGATTATTTTTAAAAGCTGTTCACATTTTCTAAAAGTAGAAAAAGAACTAAAAATCTTTTTTCTTAAGAAATGACTATCTACAATGTTACATATAAAACAATAGTGAAGGGACAGTTTGGGGGACAACTGCCCATAACTTTATCCCTTTGAAATTGATGCTAAAGATAAAAATTTCCTCTTACAAACCACGACAATTCTCTAAGGAAAGCCTCCCTTAACTCTGTGACTTTTCATTTGGACTTGAAAGTTTACCAGGGATATCAGTCTAGAATTCCCCATAATCATAAAGGCTTAGCCTCAAGAGAAACAACCTGGCTGCTACTGATTGTAATCTCATACACATTGTAAATATATGTTATCTGCATGAACTGACAACTATCCTTGAAACTTACCTCTTTAGGTTGCCCAGGATCCAACTGGTCTAAAATTAATTGTAATTTTCCTTGACAAAATCTGTAACTCTGTAACACAATTGACAGAACATTCATTTATTTAAAAGGCTTTTAAAAATATTGCGACAAATTATATTTTCAATATAATTCCAAGCACAAAATGCAATCTGGACAAGAGAAGGAGATGATCTATTTTGACCTGGCAGCAACTTAGAACTTTTCTTCCCAAGGCTTTTACATGGGAACTGAAAGTCCCAGCAGGACAGTGTACATTCATGGACGGAACATAGAAAGACGCATAAGACAAAAAGCCAAAATGTTGCATACTCAGAAATGTGAATAAATGAAACATACAGATAAAACAAACAAGCAAAAAAAACAAAGCTACCAATAGTACCCTAGGCATAGCTACAATACTGTTTGGACTGTGTTGATCTCTTTCTTTCCTATACTTTTCCTTAGCCTTCCTCCATAGTTCTTTGGTGAAAAGAATCCTGAAGGAAAAATTTATATCTGTTTTAAAAAGTTTATAGTAGATTGTAAGATATTTTGGAGAAAGAAAGTCTTTTTTCCATCAAAGGCAATTTAAATATGCATAATAAATATCATCTGAAAATAAAAATTATAATAGTAGCTACCACTTATGAGTAAATATTATGTAACAGGCCCTATCTCAACTTACAACTGTGAAATATGAGAAACATGAAAACAAAAGAGGTGAAATAGCTGCCCCAAGTCACAGAGCTATCACAACTCACATTCCCACCCATACCAGAGACTCACTTCTCTTCACTATCCTCTCTCTTGAGGTGTTCTCACTCAGGTTTTTGACTGTAAGTATATCATGATGACTCATAAATATCAGTCACTTGATCTCCAGAGTTGTTATACATATCTAATTACCTTCTCAATTATTTCCATTTGGATGTCTAAGGGGCATCTCAAACCTAACAATCCAAAATAGAATTCTAATTTTTTTATGCCAATCTGCTCAACCCTTAGACTATAAACACCACTAGAGTCAATCCAGAATTTGACTTAGATAAAAACATGAGTCAATCTTGACTCCTCAGTTTCTCTCATTTCCTACATTTAATCCATCATTAAGTCCTGCAAGACAACCTTTAAGCTTCACATATCTTAAATCCAACTACCCATCACCACTTCCCTGCTAAAACCCTAGTCCAAGGCACTATTGTCTCTAATCTAGACTACCTCAATTCATCTTAACTGGTCTCCCAGCTTCTATGCTTATGTCATCCTACCCTACCATCCATTCTCTATCAACAAAGTTTCTAAAGTTATAAATCAAATCACTTCACTCCCTTCCTGAAACCTCTCACTCCCCACTATACCTAGTTTCTCCCTGTACCTCTCTCTCATATATCATCTCCCATCCAGGCTCTAGGCACACTGCCTTCTTTCCATCCCTGGAAGATGTCATGCTCATTCTGGCTAAGAATCTTTGCCATTGGCTTTCCTCCAGGCTGGCAGCACTCTTACTCCAGAGCTTTGTTGGCTGCCCTCTATCACTTAAAACTCAGCTCAGGTCGGGAGCAGTGGTTCATGCCTATAATCCAAGCACTATGAGAGGCAGAGACAGGTGGATCACAAGGTCATGAGATCGAGACCATCATGGCAAAAATGGTGAAACCCCATCTCTACGGAAGATACAAAACTTAGCCACGCGTGGCAGTGCGTGCCTGCAGTCCCAGCTACTCGGGAGGCTGAGGCAAGAGAATTGCTTGAACCCAGGTGGCAGCGGTTTCAGTAAGCTGAGATTGTACCACTGCATTGCACTCCAACCTGGGGACAGAACGAGATTCCTCTTAAAAAAAAAAAGGGGGCGGGGGACTCAAGATGGCGCGGTGAGAACAACCCAGGATTGAAGCTCTCGGTGAATGCGTGGAGAGGGTGAGTCAGGGCCGCATTTCCAGACGGATCTTTGTTGGCCACAGAACGGGAAAATCCCCAGGTATAAAAGAGACATGGGATGCCAGGCAGAGGTTTTGGCCGGCGCTGTAGCGCAACAGCGTTTCACAGTGCTCCACACAAAGAGCACTGGTCCGGGTGCCCTGTTAAACCGGCAGTCTGAGACTTGAGAGGGCTGAACTTGAGACTGAATGGGACTTGGACAGTAAGCCAGCCCAGGAGATTCCAGGGAAGCAGTGTTTGGGGTAGCACAGTGGGACAAACAAAACGGCGATCCCAAACGCTCCGGGTGGGGGCACAGCTGAACCCAGGATGGTGCAGCTCCGTGTGGGAGGAGCGTCCGCCATTATGGAGGCAATCAGCCCCTACTGAAGTACACGCCCATTGCTGAGGCAACCCGCCACAACAGAGAGACTCCGCCACAGGGCGTAGCCTGCGGCAGCAGGGCAGACACTGCAGCAGCACGGCAGAGCCTGCAGCAACAGGGCGAACCTCACACCAGAAGGGCGGAGCCTCGGCAGGCAAATAGTGACTAGACTGCCTCCTAGCTGGGCAGGACAGCACAATGGAGACTCACAAAGAAAGCCCCAACCCACCCCCCCGCCCCGAGAAAGAGCATCTGAGAAAAAAAAAGGGTTTTTTTAGGAGTTCAGCTGCAGCAGAATTAAACATAGCAGCCTAACAGCCCTGAATGAACAACAGAGCTCACAGCTCAGAAATTGAGCTCCTATAAACTACAGACTGTCTCCTCAAGAAGCTCCCTGACCCCTCTATATCCAAAAACTGATATTTGGCAGGCATCATTCTGGGACAAAGATAGCAGAAAAAGAAACTGGTAGTATCCCTCACTGTTCCGCAGCTGCTATAGGTGCACCCCAGACAAGCAGGGCTTGGAGTGAACCTCAGCAGTTGTACAGTGGAGGGGCTAGACTGGTAGAAGGAAAACTAAGTAACAGAAATACTTCATCACCAACAATCTGGGTGTCCACTAAGAGACCCAATCGAAAAATCAGCAACTACGCACATGACAAGTGGATAAATCCACAAAGATGGGAAGAAACCAGCAAAAAAAGGAGGAAAACACCCGAAACCAGAACACCTTGACTCCTACAAAAGACCAAAACTCCTCACCAGCAAGGGAACAAAGCTGGATGGAGAATGACTGTGATGAAATGACGGAATTAGACTTCAGAAGATGGATAATGAGAAACTTCCATGAGCTAAAAGAACATGTTCTAAATCAATGCAAAGAAACTAAGAACCTTAAAAAAATATATAAAAAAAGATTTGAGGAAATGATGACAAGAACGGATAACGTGGCGAGGAATATGAATGAACTAAAGGAGCTGAAAAACACAATACGAGAACTTCGCGAAGCATGCACAAGTTTCAATAGCCGAATTGACCAAGCAGAAGAAAGAATATCTGAAGTCGAAGATCAACTCAATGAAATAAAACAAGAAACCAAGATCAGAGAAAAAAGCACAAAAAGGAATGAACAAAGTCTCCAAGAAATGTGGGACTATGTGAAAAGACCTACCTACGTTTGATAGGTGTACCAGAAGGGGACGAAGAGAATGAATCCAAGCTGGAAAATACTCTTCAGGACATCATCCAGGAAAATTTCCCCCACCTAGCAAGACAGGTCAACACTCAAATGCAGGAAATACAGAGAACACCACAAAGATATTCCACAAGAAGAGCAACCCCAAGGCACATAATCGTCAGATTCAACAAGGTTGAAATGAAGGAGAAAATACTAAGGGCAGCCAGAGAGAAAGGTCGGGTCACCCACAAAGGGAAGCCCATCAGACTCACAGCAGATCTCTCGGCAGAAACACTACAAGCCAGAAGAGAGTGGGGGCCAATATTCAACATTCTTAAAGAAAAGAACTTTCAACCCAGAATTTCATATCTAGCCAAACTGAGCTTCAGAAGTAAAGGAAAAATAAAATACTTTGCGAACAAGCAAGTACTCAGAGATTTTGTCACCACCAGGCCTGCTTTACAAGAGCTCCTGAAAGACGCACTACACATAGAAAGGAACAACCAGTACCAGCCATTCCAAAATCACACTAAATGCTAAAGAGCATCAACATAATGAAGAACCTACAACTACTAATGGGCAAAACAGCCAGCTAGCATCAAAATGGCAGTATCAAATTCACATGTAACAATATTAACCCTAAATGTAAATGGACTAAATGCACCAATCAAAAGACACAGACTGGCAAATTGGATAAAAAGACAAAACCCATCAGTGTGCTGTATCCAGGAAACCCATCTCACATGTAAGGATACACAAAGGCTCAAAATAAAGGGATGGAGGAAGATTTACCAAGCAAATGGATAGCAAAATAAAGCAGGAGTTGCAATTCTCATCTCTGATAAAATAGACTTTAAAGCAACAAAGATCAAAAGAGACAAAGAAGGACATTACATAATGGTAAAAGGATCGATACAACAAGAAGAGCTAACGATCCTAAACATATATGGACCCAATACAGGAGCACCCAGATACATAAGGCAAGTTCTTAATGACTTACAAAGAGACTTAGACTCCCACACAATAATACTGGGAGACTTTAACACTCCACTGTCAATATTAGACAGATCAACCAGACAGAAAATCAACAAGGATATCCAGGGCTTGAACTCAGACCTGGAGCAAGCAAACCTGATAGACATTTACAGAACACTTCACCCCAAATCCACAGAATATACATTCTTCTCAGCACCACATCACACCTACTCTAAAACTGACCACATAATTGGAAGTAAAGCACTGCTCAGCAAATGCAAAACAACGGAAATCATAACAAACAGTCTCTCAGACCATAGTACAATCAATTTAGAACTCAGAATTCAGAAACCAACCCAGAACCACACAGCTTCATGGAAACTGAACAACTGGCTCTTGAATGTTGACTAGATAAACAATGAAATGAAGGCAGAAATAAAGAAGTTCTTCGAAACCAATGAGAACAAAGACACAACATGTCAGAATCTCTGGGACACATTGAAAGCAGTCTCTAGAGGAAAATATATAGCAATAAGTGCCCATATGAGGAGAATGGAGAGATCCAAAATTGACACCCTATCATCAAAATTGAAAGAGCTAGAGGAGCAAGATCAAA